GGGAGCGACATTCGAGGCCAAGGCGCACCATCTTGTAGCGCTCAACGAAAGTCTCAAACGTTTGGCGGAAGCAGAAGCCTGCCCGACGAACGCGAACATTCTCCAGAAGACTGTGAGCCAGGCAGGGGGGGGGGGGGCAACAAAAGCGCGTGGCCATGTAAATGGGGCGAAGAGGTCCGGCGGCCGGGCGAGACGAAGCGGGGCGGAAAGACCAAAAGCGCAAGGCCGATGCGGCCACATACCCGAGGTAGCGAACCTGGTGAGAAACCAGCTCCGCATCAAACATGTGAGGCTGCTGCTGGCCATTGGGCTTGATGCAGCGCACATAGTGCGGGTGTTTGGAGAGGAGGTTGTTCATCAGCTCGTCCATGGATTTCTGTCATCCCGAGGAGGAGGAGGAGGAGGAGGAGTGGGAAGGGAAAGGGGCATGTTAGAGCCACGGGGCCGGTGGGCAGGCGAAGAGCAAGGCAAATGCGGCTGGAGGGTCGGGCCGGGAGGAAGGGCGAAAAAGCCAGTCGTACCCGGAAGCTGGAGCTGGCCGAGAGGGGCCGCTTCAGATCCACGGTGGCCGGGCCCTCGGGGAAGAGTTGGCTATTTGTGGCGCGCACACCAAGGAGGGAGCAAGGGATTGGGAGAGAGAGAGAGAGAGAGGCGGGGGAGGGGGAGACAGGAGAAAAGGGGAGAGGCTGACGTCAGTACGTGCATGCATGGCAGGTCATGTGGAGGAGGCACGAGGGGCAGGAGGGGCAAGAGAAAGGAAGGAGGGGGGAGGGGGGGGGGGGGGAAGTGAGGGCAAAAGTCGCCGTGGGTTTGGCCAACACACGCACCGAACAATCTCCAAGGTGGAGGAGTTCATGCAGTGCTGGAGGTCGCGGAAGAGGGTGTCGCGGTTCTTCTCGACAAAGAGCTCGGCCTCATACTGCACATCGCCAGCGTAATGCTTCAGGCGGAAGTCACATGGGCCGAGGGTCTTGTCACTGCGGTGGTTGGCCCGGGTGACGAAGTGCGGGTGCTCACCGAAGGCCATGTTTAGCTTGGCCATCAGGGTGCCGGTGGTCACCTCGCCGGGCAGCAGGCACTCATCATCGAGAAGATCGATGATACCATGCTTGCGCTGTGGGGCATTTATGTGTGCGTGTGCGTGTGCGTGTGCGTGTGCGTGTGCGTGGGGGGCAGAGGCGAGAGGGAGGACGGATGTGTCAGGCCGGAGGGCAGGGGTCATGCCGGGAAGGGGGGAACGCGCCACGCCGGTGACAGCAGGGCAAAGGGAGGGGGCCATAAAAGGGGCGGGCAGCGGACCTCCTCGATGAGCTTGCAGATGATGGCGTTGTCGAAGAAGTCCACCGGGGAGTTCCACTGGACACCCTCGCGCTCGTACTCCAGCTGCTCTTCGCGCAGGGTGCGCTCGATGAACAGCTGCTGCAGCTTCTCGTTGCAGTAGTTGATGCAAAACTGCTCGAAGGAGTTGGTCTGCAGCACCTCAAAGCCGTAGATGTCCAGCACACCGATGACCGAGCCGCGGGGCTCCCCCTCGACGGCCCGGCGGACGGTGGGCTTGATGGAGGCCAGGGTGGCTTGGTACTTCTTGCTGTCGGCCAGCATGGCCTGCAGGCGGCGGCGGCGGCGCTCCAGCGGCGTCAGGGCCGAGCTGGACCGGACATTCGAGCCGGAGGGGGACTCCCGCAGGCCGGCCCCCCCGGCCGAGGCCTCCGAGTGCGTGGAATGCACGGACTGCCGGTCGGCATCGGCGTCGACCAGCGACAGGCCGGACGCCGCACGCGACATGCCGGCCGGGCTGGTCACCCCGGACGCGGCCGCCGCCTCGCGGAAGCGCGCCTCCACCACATCCCGGCGGATGTTGCCGTTGATGGTGTGAACCACATGCGAGAAGAGCCGATCGTAGATGGCCTTGGCCAGGGCGTCACGCGAATTGACCGCGGCCTTGAGATTGAGCCCGACACGCATGTCGGCCCCGGCGCGCGAGGAATCCTTCACGGTCCGGTGCGTCAGCGAGAAGGCCAGCGCCGTGCGGTCGACCCCGAGCAGCCGCGCCGCCATGTCGAAGTGGTGCCCATCGACCACGGTGGCCGCCGAGGGATCGGCCCCGGGGAGGGCAATCCCCTGGGGCCAGCCCGGGCCGCGGATTTCCACATTGCCCAGGTGCAGGACCGCCGCCACCAGCTGGTCAATGGCGTCAATTTGCTCGGCGGTGAAGCCGACCGTCTGCATGGCATCGCGCACGGCCACATGCTCCAGTCGGTCGTTCACCCCGTCGATGGAGTAGACCGAGCCATAGGCGCCGAGGTACTTGTACTGCTCGGGGTTGTTGGCCAGGCCGAGCTGGTCTGTGGAGTGGGGCAGGGTGGGGGCAGGAT